CGTGTCATTTAAACAATGTATCAAGCAGCAATTTTCTGCTTCCTAACACTAATACCAAAAATAACATCTTTAGATTTCTGTGATACAAAAAGTGCAGTTTTAACCAACACCACATCTTATTTATACAAAGGCCTGAAAGAAGAAAATTGTAACTGTGCACGTCGAACTTCTTGTTTAAGAAAATGTTGTGCGGTGGGATTTTACGCTAGTAAAGGAGTGTGTCTTCGATATGATAATCCGGATTTTGTTTTGAACATTCCGGTTTATGATGGAAAAAAATTCGTGCGCAATGTGAGCGCTAATACAAATATTTTGGCGGGAGTTATGAGCTGTGATTTTTTTATTTTCGGATCGAACGAAAAGGATTGGTTTTATCTACAAGAGAGGGGGGGAATTCTCACATCCGAATACGGATTAGTGGAAAATGATTTTTATTGTGTTGATGATATTAAGGATAAAGGCTTGGCGGCGTTTATTTGCTATGATAGAATCACTACCGAAGCTACGTCGAGAAAAATTTATGCTGCAGGTAATTTATATTTTATCATGTTACATAAAATGTTGGAAAATCCATTATTATAACATAAAATAATTACTTTACACGTTTCCCGTAATTTACATTCACATTTATATTTGTTTTTGCTTTAAAATTCAATAAAAATCAGCGTGGATTTAGTTTGAAATGACCTATTTTAAAATATATTGTGGTTAGGAAATAGGACAAAGTCGGCGGCTTTTTGTGTCGTTGAATTTGTAAACATTGAAAGATTTTTAACAGCTGCAGGAGTTTCAAAACGTAATAGAATCCAGATGCACTGTTGCCAGCTCAAAAAATTAAATTCACTAGATCGGAGGCTTTTTTTATAAAAATTTCGTGATTTTTGACTAAGTAGGGTAAAACAGAGTTTTCAGTTTAAAAATCTGCTTAATTTGTGGAAAAGGCAATAATAACAACAGCATTTTTGGCCTAATTTGTGGTTTCACAGCTTGTTTTGAACTAAATTTTACGAAATAATTACATTTTTAGCTCAAAAATCAGTTGTAAAACATTTTGTCTATTCGTGCGTCTATTCCATATAAATTATTTTTGTGATTTTTAGACTTTGAACAAGATTTTATAAACTAAATAAACCCCTGCTTCAAAAACAAGAAAATCAAGCAATAAAAAATATCAATTTCAATTAAATTGTTTAATTTTTGGCGTAGTTGAACTGATTTTTTCGATTTTTTTAATTTTTTATCCAAAAACGTGTTTAAACTTAAAAAGACAAACCTTCACAAAATTTTGCAATTGTAATTGTATTTCTACCTGAAACATGCCAAAACTATCGAGAAATGCAAAATAATATACTTTCTAATATAATTTTCAACTCAAATTTGTTGTTTTTTAGTTTAATCGTGTAATTTTTTAGAATGTATATACAGGGTGATAACGGACATTCATCTGAGTTAAAAGGTCCTATGACAAAAATTGTTAGAACCTTTTTTTCACAAGATATAGCTCTTCAAAATTTAGATTTTGGATTGTTTTTCGTAGTTTCCATTATATAATCTTGAATTTTCTTAGCTGAAACAGAAGATCTTTTAAGACTGAACAGATTGGATTGGAAAAATCAACAATTTATGTCTTATAGTGTAAAAAAAATTACCAAATTAGCAAATTTAACAATAAATTAAATCTAACAACATCGGAAACAAAAACTAAGAAGCTTACATGATAATATGAAACAAAAATCTGAATTCGTTTTTATGCTTAGCTGAAAGTCTTCCATCACCATTCGAGAATTAGTCCGACATTTTTGAATCCACCCTATATAAATAATAGTTTTGGTTTTTTCGTTGTTATTTCAAAAATGTGCCTAAAAACTCGAGAAAGCCAAAAATAATAATTGTTGGCTCATTTAATAAAATAATAAAATAATAATTGTTTTTAGCATTTATCTACTAAAGCATTAGAAAAAGACAAAAATAAAGTTTTTTTCGACCCTGTTTAGTAAAATTTCTTAAAAAAACAAATAGAACTTCTTTTAACCAATTTAGTGTTTTTTTAAGGAAAAATTCGGGAAGTAATCAAGATTTATTGATTGAAAAAAATTGAAATGTGTGAAAAGGAAGCAAAAATATAAGTATATCAATAATTGAAAAATTAGTATATTAATTTTTTAAATGCAGAGTTCCAAGAGTTTTTTCGTTTCCAAAAAATCACAGTTTCTACCAAATCACCAGACTAGCATTAAAATCACCAGGTTTGGTGAAATTTCAAAACACCTGGCAACACTGTCCTGACAAACAATGACATATTTGACACTTTTATTAATTACGTAAGTGATCGGCGTGGCAATAAAAGGACTACTGGGAATCAATGAAAACAAATCAACTAATTTCGTAAATGTGTTAATCTTGTTTAGGATCTCATTCGCAACTAAATAAGAGACAACTATAATGTTATTTTTAGAAAAGTGTTTACAGGAAATTCGTTTAGTACTTTTTTAATTATTATTCATTTATTACGACTAAATATACAGTACTTTGATATTACTGGAAAGGAAAAACATTTTTTGATCCTGAAACGAGAAAATCAGTAATTAAAACTTCATTATTCTGATAATTTCTGCTTTTTAAGTCCTTTACATTGGCGGTTTTATTTATTTTAATAAAACGGTATCTGATAGGGACAGTCGTTGGTTTTTCGTAAACATCATGAATATTTCATTAGAATAAATTTTTTTCCGAATTACAAAAATAACTATTCTCATGTGATAGGGGAAAAACCTGTGGGTGAACAACAAAAATTAGTGGGTGAATCAAAAATTGTGTTAGAAGATTTTGTTAAATTGTTTACTTTTTCATTTTTGCTTTGTTAAATAAATATAATTTGACTTCAACGATTTTTTTATACAGGCGATTTAAATGCTTAATTAAATTTTTTGAGAACTACTCTTGTATTTTCTTCTTTTGATTTTGAAGCACTTATTTTTTCTTTTTTAGGCAATTTTAAAATATAGGCAATGAGATTTTTTTTGTTAATTGCATTTAGTTAAACATTTATAGAAAAAAAAAATATGAAATTTAATGTGTTAAGATGTTTTGCTCAAGGTGTGTCAGTAATAAACAGAATAGTATTAATCTGAATTTATTTGCACAATTAGCATAAAAACTGTTTTTAACAATAATAAATATCAGAAAATTATAATTTACGAAGTGTTTTTACACTAAACTTCGAAAATTTCCATATTTATGTCATTATTAATTTCAATTATTATTATGTTAAAACGTTTTTACTGTCATTTTGAATTTAATTACTTAAGTATTAATGACAAATCTTGATAAAATGTAGTTAGCTCACGTACAATACCGGATATAAAATCGTAAACGTACTTTTTAGGCTAATTGTGATGAAAACGATTATAATTTAATTTAATAATTCTCATAGCTAATGAAGTCGTCTTCGGAAATTTATTACCCATGCCCTATTGTCTTTATATTACGTGAAATCATTGACATTTCATAGACTTGTATTTTTAGAGAAAATAAATTTTTAGCTACTGGTCAGCTCTATTATCTATTAATAATATAGAATTATTTCGAGAATATTTTTAGTAAATATTTTTTTAAAAATAAAACTTTATTTTTGTATAAAGTAAAATAAAATCGCAGTTAATTCTTCTCTGGGAAACGGAAATTTTTGATAATTGACAAAATTTCGAGGTAAATCAACTGGTTAGGTGATATTTGGGAAAAACGTGTTTGAGTAGGTATGTAAATACATCTCTGTTTTTTTAATTAAAATTTTATGACGACATAATTAAAACAAGGTTACTATAAATAGAATTATCTTTTTTAATCTTCCTATAATAAATTATATCTAAATATTTTTTTTCTTTTTTTCAATAAGTGCAAAGTACAATATGACGAGAACAATTAAAACTGCTGCTGTGGATGACTAATAAGTGTAAATACAATTAGATTTGTAAATTCCTTGATAAAGTCCTTGTAAGGTTCTTTAAGGATCCTTGAAATTTTTTTTGTTACATTTATATTTTTCCAATGAATTCATTATGTATGCCTTACGATAATTTACACTACTTTGTATTGAACATGTTGTCCAGCTCATGTTCGAGGAATTTTAAAACCAGTTACATTTAGCACCAAGTTTGCAAGAAACTCAGAGAAATAATTTTATTCAAACTGTGTTATAATGAGTATAATTGCATAACATATTAAGTAATATCTGTGCAAGGGAAAGTCTAATCTTTGTAAATAAAGTGGCTAATGGAAAAAGGAAAAAATGTTAATCCAACAAAAACAAAAGATGTTCGTTCACTTTCTCTCCGAAGATAAACTACGGCGTGCATTTTTTTAAGTGTCTTAACGTTGGCACCACTAGTAAACTAATTCTTGGTGATTTTACTAATTTACTAAAGTTGGCAGTTCCGGTTTTTGATTTATTAAAAAACTCAACAAAAAAATTATCAGAAACAAAAACACGAAAACTGGGACAAATATGGTACCGCTAGTAACAGTTTTTGGAAATTTGGAGACAAAAAACGTGCAATCAGAAGAAAAAGACCACAATTTGAAATGCAGGTTTGATAATTTTCCTCTAATTTTTATTAAAAAATTGACGAGGATAGAAAATAAACATGAATGAGAAAAAAACGTAATTAGATTTTTGAGCAACAAGTTGAAACAAAAACTGAAGAAGAATTTAGAACATTTATCAACTTTAAGCTCATAAAAGTTAAAATTTTGACATTTTTGGGACAAAACCAAAAAACAAACAAAATTTGTGGCTATGGAGATAAGCTGCTATCAATTTTTGTACTAAAATTTTGACTTGGTGATTTTTGTTTTGAAAAAAATAACAATTCAAGAGTACATTCACCACAAATTTACAAAACACGTTTATAAACAAGCGATATACTCTCTAAAGACACATTAACAGCACATTTTTAAAATCTGGGAACCACTGTTTGTCTTCACACAATTTTTTTTTCTAGGTATGATAATATCTATGCCATTCCTGCTCCTAACATTCATCGCATATGCTCTTTTACCGGATCGGAACCTTCATATGAAAGCTCTTATGTTTTATGTCATCAACTTGATGTTTAGTTACCTACTTCTTGTCATCATCCAGCTTACAGAGAGTCAATTTGCTGAAGTTACTTGCAAATCTCTAGGTAAGTAATATTTCAGTTAAGTATTTTTACTAATTCTGTAGATGTATTATTATTTATTACCCACTCTTCATTAGCTTTTCAAGTTAGCAGTCAAGTTGTTTTTTATATTTTAATTATTGTTCAAACTTAAGTGAAGCATTTAATTAAACGGATGTTATGTTATGTTCCATTCGGTGAAAAATCAGGACAACGAAAAAAAATTTCTATTTTCTTTCCGATGGTAAAACGCATACAATTATTGCATGGCATAATTAATATCTAATATGAACTTGTTTAATTAAATGATCTTTAATATTTAGTAATTTTAAAGTATTAAGAGTAAGGTAAGATGAGAGAAACATAGAAAAAATGTTTACAAAATTGTAGCTATAAAAATTTCAAAGTTTTGAACTCTATTTATTTCTGTTGGAAAAATTATTTTCCAAGTTTTATTAGACTATTAGAAGAGGAAACAAGGAAGCTGTATACTAAATTGTAACTCTGTTAATGTTATTTTGGTTTTTGTTGACAAAATTTTTATACCTTTATTGAATAATTATAAAAAAAAAACATACAAGATCATGAAATAGACATAAAAATGTCAAATGTCAAAAAATAAATTTTTTACATAGAATTTTTTTCGAAAATAACATACCCTGGCGGCAACTCTTCTCAAAAAATGGATATTCGCGTTTCGTTAAAAACTAATATTAATTTTTCTAGTTTTTTGATTCTGACTTCCATACTCTGATTTTTCCCGATTTTTCCTGATTTCTCCAATTTTGTATACCGATTTTTTCTGTATATTTACTCCTTGCATTACTTCTATTTTCAGGTGTTAGTAATTGAAAATAGAAATGCAACATCATGAAAAAAGTAATACTTATTTATTCTGAAACTTTTTTTGTTTTGTTTTCTATAAATATATACATCGTATATATATTTTTTTTATATTGTAGGTGCGTCCAATTCATAGCATCACAATACATTTTTTCCTAGACGTTTTTCTAAATACATACAGGGTGAATATAAAGTATGGAACCAAGCGGTTTTACTTTTAATCATTTGCCTCCAGAAAATAATAATTAATATAAATTAAAGTAATATAAAAAATGTGATAGTATTTTCAGAACGAAATTTTGTTTTGTTTTTGAGTTATGCGATTTTTTTTTGTCAAAATTGCAATTTATGTGAAAATTTATTTTTGAAAAAATTATATATAAAGCAGATAGTTGTAATCCTTAGAGAATAGCTTTTATGAGAAAAATGATTTTATACTGGGTTGCCATTTAAAATTTTTTTTTTGTAGAACCCAAAAACAAAAGGAAATTTCGAAAAATTTTATTCTTGTTAAATCATCACATTTTTATAGTACTTTATCACTCATCAATTAGTTTTTTCAAAAAATATATAGTTTAAGGAAAAAACGTTTGGTTCCATACTTTTTATTCACCTGGTATAATGGATATTTATGTAAAATTCGAATAAAAAAAAGTTAAGAAACATTTTCTTCTCAAAAAAGTGATAGCGTAACTGAATTTTTTGATTTAAAATTGGATTGAAAATATCGCTAGTAAAAGCCAAGGAACATTTTTTAACTCTTACGATTGGCTAACAGGACTGTTAAAAAATAACCAACAAAATTTTTGCTATAACATAATTCTTTACTGTGAAGTATTTAATGTCCTATCTGCCTGTCATCATCTTCATTTAAATAAAACAGTTTTTATTTAGTTGCTCTTAAATTGTAGACACGCTACTGAGACTATCCTTGAATGCATTGATCTGTTTTTTTTTAACTAAACATAGGGCTATGTTAAGAATTAAAAAAAATCTTGTATGTACTTTGTTACACACTTGGTTTAATTCTATCGTTTTTTTAGCCTTAAATAATAGCACAAATGTGGTATTTAAATTTATTACCGAGCATGATAACAACGCGAAATTTTTACTTTCTTGGATTATTTATACAGGGTGTTTTGGCTAAACCCCACTCCGGCGATACCGGAATTTGTTATTTAAAGCTTTTTTATTGCGTTTTTAGATTTCCCGAGTTATTACCGACTTTCCCTATAATTTAGCCGTTTTTGAGATTTTTATCTTTTTTGTGCTGTTTTTAAGTGTTATGAAATTGTATTTGGGCATTTAAAAAAAATGGTTCTTTTTTTTGTGGTGTAAGAAGAACTTAATTTTGCTTAGATCTGTATCATTCCCAATACCTACGTTTAATAGTTTTCAAGATATAGTAACTTTTTTTGATATTGCGAAAAATTCATTAACAATCATATGTTGCCATGGAAATAAGAAAAAAAAAAAGGAGAATTAAAGTTATTCAATTTTACCAGAAGTAAGATTTGCTAGATTCCGAAATATGATTTTAAAATAATTGGAAATAGGAGAGTTTAAATATTTTAAAAACCTACCTATAGAGAAAGCTGATAAAAACTCTCTTAAAATCCCTTGAGTAATCCAAAAACGCAATGAAAAACATTTGATGCCCACTTCCGGTGTAACCGGAATTGCCGCCATCTTGAAAATATTTTCATTGAACAGAACATAACCGATTATGGCCATATACAAATTTTTAGGTAAACATTATTGCCACAAACTTCTAATGTGGGGTTTAGTCGGAACAGCCTGTATTTTAATCATTTTATAATACTCATCTAAATCCATTCCACTAACCATGACCATGAGTAACATATGGTGTAAAAAAATGTTCTAAAAATAATTAAACTATCTCACTATGTCTCTACATATGTTTTTGTTATATTTTCAGGGTATTTCTGTCTGTTTTTCTTTTTGGTCTCCTTCTTCTGGATGAACGTCATTTGCATTGATATCTGGTGGGGTTTCAGGTGAGATTTTTGCTTAACACTTTATTCTTCTGCAGTGTTTTGTCCCAAAAAATAATATACCCACGATATTATCATAACCACGTCTTCCGTTTGATATGATATTCACACAAACTGACGCATGTAAAAAATTACTAAATAAAATAAACTTCTTGTCAACCGCAGTTTCAAGGATTGAGAGAAATATATTGCGACATTAAGGAAAAACAAAGTAGATGAGTCAATACTGATAATAACATATGTGTCAATTATTTTTCAATGTATACCTTGCTTATCCTAAAAATACACTTTACATTCACTTTTTGGATTTACATAATAATCAAGTCAACTTATTTCAAGAGAAAGTCGAAGACATAAAACGATAGATGATCCAGCTAACCTTAATTTTGACACAAACAATGACGATATTGGAATTAATTATTATTTTTTGTAGTTTTATTACCGTATTTTTGCCACTAAAAATCATAAAGAATATCCTATTTTGTTAATTAATTTGTTTTGTATTCACATTCTAATACACGTATTTTATTCTTTTTTAGCGGTTTAAGAGGTTTTACTGGTAGTCAGAAAACTGCAGAAAGAAAAAGATTTATTTTTTATTGTATCTACGCCTGGGGTATGCCTGTAATTCATGTCCTAATTGTTTACCTTATCGACAGTGTGGCAAAAGAGAATTCTGTGCTTAAACCTGATATTGGTAATGGACAATGCTTTTTGAAACGTAAGTATTTTTGAAGTTTGTATTTTTTAAGAAAACGTGCATTCAAAAAACAATTATAATTTTGAAAAATTAACGCCCGATACACATGTTATACATTAGTTAACTACACAGGATGATTCTTGTAGGGTCTACATTTGCATAAATTGAATTATCTTAGAAGATTTTTCAAACCTTCTGTTATCAAATGCAAGAAAATTATTCACTTACCGCAAAGGGGTTTTTTGAAATGAAAATTTTGACAAAAAATTCACATATGTCAAAAACTATAATGAAAAACTGTCAACAACTTGAATTTCATCAATTAAAATGTGTGGTTTCCCTTTAAAATATTATTAAAGTTGTCGCCAGTTTTTCGTAGTTTCGAAAATTGAGTCATTTTGAAAATAGTATTGCCCACGACCATATACGAAAGTGACATTTTCCATACAATCAATTACCCACGAAAGTTGACGATGTCGAATGAATCGCATTATTTTCCTAACACACGTGTGTGTTAGAAAAATAACGTAAGAGCTTGTGTGATTGGCGCGTGTTTGATTTTCCATTTTATTGCAGGTGGTTTCCCAGAATTACTCTATTTTTATGGACCCATGGCTATATTAATAACAATAAACGTGGTGCTATTTACTATTACTGCATTGAAAATACGAAAGATAAAAAGAGAAACTGCAATGCTGAAAAAAGAAGACAGTAAACGCCATTCTTATGAAAATGATAGACAAATGTAAGTATAGTTTAAGTGTGAAATTTTATTAAAACACCAAAAACAGTGTCTTAATGAAGGCTATTGTTTTTGTCATATTTGCAATATCACGCAATTTCTGATAGTGAACTTTAAATATCTACCAAAATCAAACTAGAAATACCAAACCAAACATCATAGACCAATTTTCAAGGATTTCTAAAAATAATATAATTAAATGTTTTTTGACTAGGCGCAAGTTGTGTGAAACACATTGTATAATATTGTTTTTTTAATCCACAGTTTTAATCTCTACCTTAAACTGCTTTTTGCCATGGGTGTTAACTGGTCAATGGAAATAATATCATGGGCTGTGATTTGGGCAGAAGAAGCTCCTGAAGCCATCTGGTATTTGACCGATTTCTGCAATGCTATTTACGGAGTCTTCATTTTCTTCATTTTTGTATTCAAGAGGAGCATTTGGAAGTTGTTGAAAAAACGGTAAGTTACTTTAATACAACTTGAAATTTCTGTTTAAAACAAATCATTTTTATATTTTGCCTATAATTAATTTTTTTTTGTATTGATTTTAAGCTACTTTTAGATTTTACTGGAGTAAACCAAAGATAGTTCAAACAATGAGTACAATCTTATGAGATCGAAAGTAAAACCGGATTTATATATTTTTGAATTAGCAGTAAGTTACCAAGTGTGCAAATGCAAATTAAACTTACTTGGTACTTGGCTAACGCTTTTGCAATTCTTTGTTTTCTACTTTTACACAATTGTTTGAATGACACTTTCAGATATTGGCTTGGGATTCTTACACTGAAACACAATTTTTTTAGTTTATTCGATGTAAATACCGAAAGTTCAGGATTTGTGGTTAAGGGTTTATTAAAAATATACCAATTAATTAGGAAAAAACAAAAGTGACTAACCGAACGCATGCTACTCTTTGTTCCGTTATACCGGGTGTTTTGACTAATCCTCACATTAGAAGTATTGGGAGTTCTAACTATGAAATTTATCTAAAAATTGATAGAAGTGGATATCAACTTTGTTATTTTAAATAGAAAAAAAAGTTTTAGATAAATGTCATAGTCAGACCTCCTAATATTCTAATGTGGGGTTCGGCAAAACACCCAGTATATCTCAAACCAATTAACTTTGCACTTTTATTATACACCAAACGAAATCAAATCTAGCACATTTTGGTATTTTTCCGGTTTAAATTCTCCAACAGCATGCGAGTAAAATCAAAAAAAACATTATAATTATAACAAGTGTTTCAGTTAATTTTCCATCTTTTCTTAAACTGTTACCAAAATTATTTTTGTCTTCATTTCCAGTTACTACACATTTATTGGTAAACATCATTTGGCCCACTCCATGACGATGACTAACACGACAAGAGTTACAAGTTATTCAACCACTGCTTCAACAATGCAAGAAACTCCCCATGGGGGCGATAATGATACAAGCACATTGAAGAATGAAGCATGAGGCATGATGGTGTTTTAGTACAGTAGCAAGAAAGTCTAAAATTTACCAAAGATTTATCTATTCTTAAATTGCAAACTTCTAATAAATGTAAAATTTGTATTATATCAGATAATAATTGTTGTACATTTTTAATACACGTATGATTTCCATGACATTAGTTTAGAATATTTTTATATTTATATTTTTAATATGAATGACATCCAAAAACTGTTTTCTGTAAAATTGACATACATAATTTAATTACGAATTATTGAATTTAATTTATGTGAAAGCAGGAATATGTATTTTGTTCAAACATACGTGTATAAAATCACTGATGTAGTATATGTGCTTAATTTAAACGTAAATGTTTACTTGTCAACTTACAACATATACAGCAGGTAAAAAACTTAAGTCAAAAATAAAATTTTTATTTTTTACATTATGTTTTATTTCTGATGCGAATCTAATATGTACTACAATTCGTGATTTATGTGGTTACTTATAGAAAATTGTAGTTTATCGAATATACTGCAATGTATATTATGTCATATTGTGTTATCTGCTATGCTTTATTAATTGCTACTTGATATGTATTTTTTATAAAATTATCACTTGTTCTGCAATTATCTTGATTATTTAGCTATTACAATTACTCTTTTATTTTTTTTTAACATTATTGGTGCTTTAATATTATGCACACAACTGTTTTTAATTTTAAGATGTTTTTCATTACCTACCTGTAAGTATTTTATTGCAATATATGTGTATGTATGTATGTCCGAAATATAATGATAAGTTTACATCTGCAATTAAACTAGTAGTCCGGTCAAAATAGACATTTCAAATAACAAAAATTCCGACAGAGCTAAATTTTGGTGGAGACCTTGGGTACACCATTAGAAATAAAGTGTCAAAAGTCCCCATCGATCCCATGTGTGCTAAAAAAGTTATTCGGGGTCAAATGCCAAAATTTGAGGTTTTATGGATTTCCTTCGAAAATGGTAAGTTTTATCAAAAAAGTAGTCCAGACAAAAAAGATAGACCTTAAAATTATCTACAAAAAAGGTCCTTATACTTTTTTTTCTAAGAATTACCATTGCTGAGATATCGGGATTTTAAAAGTTGAAGGAGTCACTTTCTATATGATATGCACATACAGAGTGCGCCAGAACTCGCGCCCCAAAAAAAAATGCTATGTAGGGTAAGGTACCAGGAAAATTTTTTTTCAATATGGCAATTTGCCAATACATTATGCATGTATGAATGAAAAGTATGGTTGCGACATTGTGAAATTACTTCTAGAAGTGGGTCAAAGTTTAGATGTTTTCAATAAATATGGTAGTTTACCATTACATTTCGCATGTCAATTTGGGAGCGTGGATGTCGTAAAATTTCTTCTTGATCATGGTTCGAACGTAGATGTTCCCGATAAATTAGGCCAATTGCCAATACATTTAGCTCATATAAATGCAAGGAATGGTGAACAAATAATACAATTACTTCAAAAAAGGTGCATTTTGTAACAAATGCAAGAATTTCTCAATGAATTGATAAGCATATCCAGGAAGGTAGGAAATGCCGGGGGACAAATTATAACAATTTATAGACAATAACACATCATTTTTGTATTGCTTTTTTTCTAATAATTTGTATTTGCATGTATTTGTATTTTTTATTTTGAAATATAAACGTTGCTGTTATAACTTATGTTAGTTTTATATTACTTTTTTTCTAATTGTTAAAAAAACAATTGAAACAAAAATTAAAATATACTACGAGTATAACTATGAAGTACTTGCAGATAAAATCTCTGATGTTTTTTCAATCAAAAAAATACCTACCATTAATAACAACCACTTTCTTTATATTTTTTACTAATTCTACTCATCTAGTTGTAATTCTGCTAAAATGTATATAAGTAAATGAACTAAATATGTTTTATATGCAATCATAATTCTATTTTATATAATATGAGTAACACACATCTAACTAACACTCACTTGAAAAAATTTCACAAATGATGAACTGAAGACTGTCCCATAAGAAATTAAACAGCTCCATAATTTATAATTAGGGTAATAATAAAAACACCATTTGAAACATTTATAAATTTTTAACATTTTAGTTTGTTAATAAAAGAAGATGAAAAACATTCAAAACCTTTAAAATTATTCTTCTTAAATACGAAGTAACCAAAATGTAGTAGAAAAAGATAAGGTAAGATGTAGATTTTTTCGAAATTGCAGTAAACTTGATTTTATTTTTAAATTTCAGGCTACCAAAAAATTTCACCACTTGAAATGGATAAGTTTTTTTCCAGGACAACTGTCTTCTGCACAGAGCCCGGATTATAGAGAAAGGGTTCAACAACCATCCGGTAGCCGGCAAACTCAACCGATTTGAAGCCCATAGAAAATTTAATTAGATGGTCTAAGCCTCCGCGTGGTTGTTGCTAAACAAATTAATTTTTTGTTTCATTGTTTCTTTTTTGGTTTAATTTTTGTAATAAACATTTCAAAAGGATTCAACATTTGTACCCTTTACACTACCTCAAGCTGTAAACGCTTTAAACAAACAATTAAAAGCAAATATTTGTCATTTACTGTACAATGCCCTATCTTTTTTTTGCAGACGTTTTAAAAATCTACCTTCGAATTAACTCTGTTAAGGACTGTAAATATTTAGAGGACACTATTACTAAATCAGCACATTGGTGTAATATGAATCGATTAATGTTTAATGTAAATAAATGTCAAGTTTTCACTTATATTAAAAAATTACAACCTCTTTATTATATAGAATTTCGACAGAAAATAAAACAACGATATAAGGAAGTGTTCAAATGTGATAACAATATTGATGTAAAAATTTAAAAAATGGCAAGATTTATTAAATATAAGAAAAATTTATCTAGAAAAAAAAACTGAAAACACTCAGGAATTGGAAAAGTTCATAGGCTAGAAAACTAGATTAAGAAATATTTATTTTCATTCATCAAGTAAAATATTTACAAATCTAAAACTAAAATCTAAATCAACTTAAGCAAACATATCTTCCCGATCAGCTCCAGCCCCATCGCCGTCCTCTAAAGACGAGAAATTTAAGAAATGCGCTGGTCTATGTATTTCATGGTAAAACTCCTTAGGATTAGCCAATTGCAGCTCATATTTCATACTTGGATCGTGTCGAACACCTAAAGGAAAAAAAATTAGCCAAAGTAACCCAAAATTAGATCAAATTTACCCATAAAATTGTAATTCCATGAACCCTGTGCCGGGACCATGAAAAATCCAAGAAACCGATCTGAGAGCAACATCTGTACCTTCTCATAGTGACTTGGTAGGTACCCTTTTGGATTATTCCCTTTATCTGTGTTAGCCCTTCCCCATTCATACCCCGAAGGTGTCAATTTATAAGCAGTTAGAGAACAAGATCCTGGCGTGAAAGAACACGTAATAATCACTGTCTTCTCCCCATCCCATGTGGGGTTATCAGCCATCAATTTCGCATGAGTTGTTATATCTTGCGGTGATAATTGAGGCAATTCGTTAGGTTGCGTATGAATCCACCCCAAGGGCTCCATATCCTTCAAAAATGGGTGATTTGGCGGTGTGTTCGGTATATGAACAGTTTGATGAGTGCCCCATTGTGGGGGCAAAACCAAACAACGCAATTCCTTGACTTGCGGATTATCAGGAGGACTAACTCCATACAAAAACGCACAAATCTGTGCTCGCAAATCCGAAATAGTGACAAACTTTTTGAGAACATTCTTGGGTAAAATATACGTATAACCAGTTTCTTTAATATCGTCTGAACTGACATAAATATGGTTTGTTCTCAAATGTAAATTCGTCGCTGATATAGCCCTAACTCTCCATTCAGTTTTCGAACTAAATGTTTGCGTTTCGTAATTACTTGTAGTACTTGTAATGATTTCATCACCATGTTTATTGACTGTTCTTGTTGTTGTTGCTGTTAGTTGAGATTGTTCTTTTGTTTGTTTTTCGATTTCTGCGATTTGTTGTCTTTGGGCAGAGGGTGCACTGATTTCCATACCAAGAATGATATCACGAATTTCACTCTGAGTCAATGATGCAACATTAACATTATTTTTCTTTCCGTAGTCGGCAAGAATCAAATCTTTTAATTGTACTTCCACTTTGATCCATTCATCGTCGGAAAGAGTTGGCCAAATGTGGTGTGGTTCTGTGATTGTTGTTTTATCAGGTTTTAAGATAACTTTTGTACGTTCTGTATTAACGTGTAGAGCTCTCAAGATCAAAATGAGACGAGAAAATGCCTATTTTGTCATAATTAGATTCACAAACCTAGTCAAATAATTTATACTTACAGTGTACGATGAAATTGTCTTTAACCAATCATCATATAAATTGAAAAGTACCATTTGTGGTTCAGTTGCTTTCAAAATCAAATCACCAAATTTCTCAATCTTTAAACAAGCCTGGAATGGTAGTTGCAACTCTGATCCTTTAATAACAATATTAGGGAAATCGAGAAGATGGACTTCTAGAGGATCCAACATTCCCTTTCTAGTCACAATTATCTGTTTTGGTTGTTCTTCAACAGGTAAAGAACGAATCAAAGCTGCTACTTCTTCGGCGGTTTTCCATTTTGCCAACTAAGAAAAACCAAACATAAAATCGATTTATTAAAAGATAAAACGGTTAACATACTTGACCCAAACGTTTTTGGCCCGCCCATACTGAAGTGTGAATGATTTTCAAAAACAATTGCCCAGTTCTTGGATTAAAGATAAAGATGGCTCCATTTATTGGTTTTGTTGTTAAATTACCCTCAAATGTTTTATGAATTGTGACTCTGTACACATTTGTATCATCGACAAACCAAATAATTTGGTTAGAGAAAAGTTCTCCGTAATTTTGACTGGACAAATAAGGTTCAGTTGGTTCACTTGAATACAATTGCAAAGCTTTTCTGATACGTTCACGCAACACGTATAAAGCAGGATTAGCTTTCATTATTTTAGCCATGGCTTGTTGTATCAACGGTTTGCATCCTGGGAACCAATTTCCATAGGCACTAAAACAAAAAACTTTCATTATTTATAAACTGTAAATTTTGTGTTGTTCTTCACTCATGGCCCCGCCATACAAATTAGTAGCATCAAATTATAACAGACATTTTTCAACTTACCTGTGAAGATTGTAAGCCAAATCAATGGCAATTAAAACACCCGTTGGAGATGGATATATAGACATATTGTCTGTAGTATAATCCAAAAATTTTGCTCTTGCATATCTTTCAATATCATGGGAATCATAATCACCCCATCTGAGCTGAACATCAATCCAGTATTTTTGAGTTGTTGTATTATCCATTGTATCTCTGCAAAAAAATTAGTTTAACAATTGAACCACCAATTTCTTCAGAAATATTTACTTCGTATCAGCTAGTAATGATGGTCGTGAAACATTCCACTTATAAGCTGAGAACAAAAGAATATCAGCACAAGACGAATTCATTTTATATGATTTCCTAGGATGAATCGTCTCTTTTTGTACAGTTTCAATTTCAAGTGCATCCAATTCTTGATCAAAAACCTTAAAGACATTAAGTTTAAATAAATAAAACTAAATAAATAATAAAAATAACTCACTTGACAAAGATCCATTACAATACTCTCATGCACTTTTTGCCACAAGTGAGCACGAAAAATTTGAATTAACGAAATTTTCAAAGTGGGAATTTTCCCGTGCATGAAAATACCAGTCAAATCCAATTGTACTTGAAAACCAACATAGACATTGGCACGATTTATGGTAGGTGACCACCATAAGGTAAAACGACGATTTGGAATTTGATTCAAACCGGATCTTTGTGCATTAGTCAATTTTTTATATTTCATTGACTCCTCGAAACCGGAAGCTTTTTCCCTATTAATTTAATTGGTTAAAATATATTACTAAATCAAAAAACCCTATTAATTACCAGAAAAGACCTTCCCAAGTTGGAAAATAAGTGCCTTTGAAAAGAGTGTGTTCTAGGATACCTTCCACACCTCCTAAAGCTTGAATCATATCAGTTCGATAGTTGTTCAAGTTCCATAATTTGCCGTCGTGGCGTTGGTGAGTCCACCAAAATGGATTTTGTTTCAATACTTGATACTGTTTAAATTCAGTTCTAATTCTCCAGCCTTTATCATAAGCCAATGTATGACGATCTTTCTGGAACAAAGTATTGATTCTCGGAATGCCTCGATCCCAGGAATCTTCCAAGTCTTCTAATGTCAAACGACTACAATTGAAAACATTACTAAATAATCAATTTGAACAAAAAATACGGTTTTGTACCGATTTTGTGCGTTTGCTTCTTGTCTTTTAAGTGAATATTCGGCCCAGACTCTTTGCGAATCGATAAATTCAGATTCCCAAGGTTGTATATAACGATACAAGTTGGGAATAAGTTGATCTTCGTCATGGCTCATTCCAGAGCGGAAATGAGTAATTCCGACATCAGTTTGTTTAGACCATCTCAAATCAGACTAGAAAAATCTTTGAAAAAAACTACAAAAAAAAAAAAAACGATTTATTTACCTGAGGGATCAAAACATGCCCCATTGAAAGCATACCAAGTCCACCCAATTCTTTAGGCGTATAAAACACAACAGGTGGAAATCTACTTGGCATTTTTGAATTCAAACCAATTTTAATACGAGTCTGAATTTTATTTTCACATTTGACTAATAAGTCTAACAGTTCTTGGGTGTTTACTACTGCTTCTCGAAAGTAAGTCATTAGACCGATTAAAGCAGTATTCCATTTATTGACAATCTGTAAAAACAATTATTTAGAATTAAATTAAAAATGTGAACATTTTTAGAATTTATACTAGAAGCTTCTTTTTTAACAAATAAATTTTTCAAAAAACGAATAATCTTTGATTTCTCCGAAACCGTTACATGTTTATTAAGACTTTTTTTTTGTCTTATTTTACATCGTAATAAGAATTATGATACGAAAAATATATATTAAACATCACACCAGAATTCTAAAAACATTCAAAATTTGTAAAAAATAAGAAAAATAGCATAATAAGGGATTTACAACAAGAATTAAAATGTAAAACAAAAAAAATTTGAAATTGTCACGGAGATCTTCCGAATTTCTTTATCTTTTTCATTATCTTCACCTTCAGTTTTTTTTCGACATTCCTAGTTTTTTATCCGCTTTTCTTGTATCGTTTTTATTTTTTGTTCTCTAACTTTTTTGTTTTATGTTTTCCCAATTGTTAAATTACAGTTTCAGGTTTTGTTACAACTATTGTTTCTTTTATTCTCATATAAATAATAAAGTTTTTTTTTCTTTATTTTTTGTGTTGCTGGATAGTTTTTTTTATTACGCCATGACAATTTGATTCTACTCAAATTTCACTTCTTTATTTTTCATTTTTATTAAAATAATTCTTCTCATTTTCTTCTTCTTCAGATTAAGTTTTCAAGTTTTTATTTCATCCAAAACTCAAAATTGGTCAAGTCGGTGGCAAAACAAATAAAACCACGTTTTTTTCATTTGAAAATTATCTGTTACTAAAACGAGATAGCTCCAACTCTCTCAACCCGTGTAAAAATTAATTAAACTTACTCTCTCGCAGTAGCAATTTTAGACATGCTAAAAGTAAAATACGGCAAAATGCGGAGACTAAGCAAAGTTAGAAAATGGAAATTTAATTTTTTAGATTCAGAAGGGGGCGGCGCCCCCCTTTATGAATTTTGACAAAATCTGATAGTGTGAGATTTAGAAAGGGGCGAGCGGCAAAGCCGCGAGTCCCCTTTAAAAATTTTGATAAAATGTGACAGTGTGAGGTTTAGAAGGGGGCGAGCCTCCCCTACGAATTTTGATAAAATCTGATAGCCTCCAATAGTCTCCCCCACTCTCTTTTGCAACACGATGTTTCAAAGAATTCTCGATTGAGATTTTTTAAATTTAAGTATTTCTTTAAGAAATTTTTAAATGTTTTTTTGCAAGTCTAGAATTTTTTATCCAGTACATTTGACACTTTCTTAGTCTCTCCAACTGCCTTTTGTAACACTATTTTTGTTTTACATTGTAATAAGAGAATAAAATACAAAAAAATACACATACTAAACCAATATTCTTTAAAAAATTTGGAAATATAAAAAAAAACATTCATTATAACCGAAAAAGAATAAAATTTAAGAAATTGTCAATTAAATCGTCTTTCTTTCATCATCATCTTTTTCTTTAGTTTTTTAATTTCATTTTCTCGTTTTTATTTTTTTGTTGTTTAAAGTGTTTATTTAATTTTTTTCTCAATCCGAAACCGTTACTTTGCGAACTCATGTTTATTAAGACTTTTTTGTTTGTTTTGGTTCATACTATTACCTCCTAAAATATTTTACAATCTTTTTTTAACGCCCTGTAAAATAATTAACACACAAAATTTGTATTAGTTTTCAGTTCAGTAATTAAAAGTAAAACAGTAAAAAGTTGTGTAAAACAATATAAGTTTTCGATACACAAAAGAATATATTTTATAAATGTGTCTAAAGGGCACTTACTTTTGTGAATGTTGTTGATCCTGACGCCATCAAAATTTGCCTGACTCTGTTATGAAAACGGCTCATTGACTCATCGTCAACTCGCAGAAAACACTGAGCTGTTCTTTCTTTACTCCCTTCATGTTGCAAGTTCCATACTCCATCACGATGAGTGAATTCTTCATGTTGAGTACGACACTAAACCAAATAAATGTTAAAAATAAACATAATAAACAAGTAGTTAATTACATACTTTTGGTAAAATTCTGCATTCAAAACCGCACATATTAAATAAAAGATTAGGATTATCTTTTGAATACACGCTAACAAAACTGTTCTCCCACTGTATGGTCGTTACAGATCGGGGTAAACGATTTTTAATGTCCCAAAATACAGCTCGACCCCTAAAATACAAAAATAAATATAAAAAAAAATAATATAAGTTGTTAAAATACAAGTTAACGTCATGTTTCATCAATCTCATTCTAGCATCCCTGGGCCAACATTTCTTATTATTGTAACCAACGATATTTTCATTGTTTGGATCAGGATGTTCAGTTAAGTATCTTTGTATCAATTCGCGAGCTTCCTCAGCTGTAAATCTGAAAAAAAAAAATATAATTCGCTTTTACTAAGAAAAAGCAGTGTTTTATTAAATTAGTAAAAAATTATGTCAGAAGCGCAATTCTCCAACCAATACGCAACTAACCTATGTTAGTGTACGCACTGGTTGCTGGCCTACAGTTTGACCAGCTTCAGGACCCCTGCGCGTTTCATCATTATTATTATTATTTATTTAAAAAAAAATTATAAAGTTTATAAACACTAAAACAGGCAAATGAGAACACATCGTTCTTTAACGACCGCCTATTTAACAATTACCACATTTAAACTGTCTAAAAGATGTTTTTAAATTAAAAAAATACAGGTCCAAGAATTTTTTTTAATTTTGTTGCAGGTATATTAATTTAAGCTGTAACTTCAGACGTTTTCTTGATTTGCCCAAGTGTCTTTTGCAGCACAAAATCTTGAAAACTCATTAACAATTTTTATACTTCAGCATTTCTCTAAAGAAATTTTAAAAGTTTTGCAAGTCTAGAAATTTTTTCAACCGATAGTTCTGGAATTGTCAATTATTTTTTTGATATTTTCTTTTGAAAATCTTGTTAAATTTTACAGAAATATCGGAAGTAATTTGGAATTAGAGGTAATATTTTACACATTTTTTTCAAGTTTTCAGACCCTCAAATAATGTCTAGGAAGTATGTAATCATGAGATTACATATTTTTAATCAAAATTAAACGTAAAAAAAATGAAAAGTAGAAATATTTCAACGTGAAAACGTAAGCATATAAAAAAATAAGAAACGTAAGAGAGTAAACATGTAATATATTATTTAACAGTATCATAGACAAAGTGGCCATTATACAGGTGGTCCAAAAGTCTGAAAACGATTTTATTCTGACGAAACTATCTATTTTTTTGGCAAATAAATTTATAGGTGTGCAATGCAAAAACTGGTGGTTTACTCCAAAAAAATTCTATAATTCTTGTAAGTCAAACATTTTTTTAACAAAAAAGTGTGAGGTTTACAAAAAAAATTTGCACAGCAACAATTCTTGTAACAAATTCGTTGTCTAAAAAAATTGTGGTAGGTTTCCATTTAAAAAAAAGTTACTATGTTTATCTCGTAAGTATAAACAACTAATTTTTTTTTGAATAGCATTTTTATAGTCATTGCACACCTATAAATTTATTTGCCAAAAATTTGATAAGTTTCGCCAGAATAACATCGTTTCCAGACTTTTATACTCAAATGATTAAAAAACTCTCGCTCTGCTCGTTTTATAAACTTTATTTTTGTGAATAATAATATATCTTTTTATTTTGTCGTAAAAATTCTCAAATTTGCATTTGACTAAAATCATTTTGAAATATGTGAGAAGTTCCATTATTCCAGGACCGGACTCAATCTTTTGAATATAAATATGAGATTATAAACCTAAAGACGTAGAAAAATCTAGTTTAGAATTACAAGAAATATTTTGGAATTACAAGAATTAATTTGTAATTATGGGAATTAATAAAAAAAACAATGAAAAAACGATGGATTATTGAAATTACTGGAATTATCTGTGATTACTGAAATTATTCTTTGAATTATCGGAGATAATTTCTTTTAAAAATTACATTGAATTTTTTAGATCAGAATTAATTTGAAATTACGCAAATTCTGTTAAAATTTTGATGGATTAATGGAATTACTGGAATTTTTTTGGAATTGGAATTAGTTGTACAGATTTTTTTCAATTTAACTGTCCCTCGATATGCACTTTTCCGAAGTATCGGGTAAACACATTATTATATTAGTCATTAACTCATTACTAATTATTATTAGATTCTGTACACCATAGAAGACCAATAACTGTGTAGTCAAAATAAATTTTACTACAGATGCATAATTCACGTAAAATATTACGAAATTTGCAGTAATTTATATTAACTTGGTTCATTTCGATGCACATTTTAAAAAACGATGTTTATTTTTGAAAGTTTGTTCGACTAGTATCGAAGTAAAGTAAATGTTTTATTTCTATAATTTGGACGTAGTACACGAAAATTTAGTTTGTTAAGCAGTTGAGGCCAATCAAATTTTAATAATGGTAATTTCATACTTGGTTTCAAGATTAGAAAAACTGAAACTAAACGAATTAAAGGGTAATAACTCCCACCTTCTTTATATAGCAAAAAATTCAAAGATTTTCTTTGTACATTTTTCAACTTTTCAGAAAAACTATTTCTACAAGACTAAAAAAATATTTTTTCCTATTTTATTAATTTCGGGTAGACTATATCCAAAATCAATCTGTTTTCGCTCGATAGTACTTGTTAAACAATCTACTATTTTTTAAATTAAAACTGCTTTCCAATCTTTCCAAAATCTCCACAGAAATCAAAGAAAAAACAAAGAAAACAACTTTAAAATTGAACTAAATAACGTTTTTTACATTTCTAGAGATCCTCAACATTAAAAAAAAATGCATAAGACAAGTTTGAAGAAATCGAAACTCTTGAAATGTCTCAATAAATTATAAAAATAATAATTTATCAACTTTAAATTCTGACTAAAAATAAAATAATCTGACTGATTTTACTTACGAAAAGTAACGTTTTTCTGAATAGAAAAAATTAAAAGTATTCTACAATTTTTAAAAAGGCTATTCTTCATATTTATTTAAAAAAATACTTGCTGGGCAACATTAGTTTTTCTTAAACTTTGAATTTTTCATTTTGACAATTTTTATGAGAATTTCAAATAGTGGTAAAAGAAACTATGAAATAACCTTAAACATAATCTGCTACAATAGTCTAAAATCATGCCGAATTTTCTTGTTTGGTTATTTATTAAACAGTCGATAAAAAAATATTTAAAAATCAAATCAAGTATTTCCTATTTAAACACGATGTATACCAAAAACCATTGACTTTTTTACAAATTAAAAAAATATGTAGGTAGAATTTTGATTTTATCCAATGATAAATTTATATATGATAAGTAATATAAAAATTTTGCAGAACTCAAAAACAAAATAACAAATTTGAAAATTTTTATTCTTGAGAAGCAACACATTTTTATAGTACAGTCAGTCGATTTGAAAATGTCGTGTCCATTAAATGAGCCCTCCCCTCCCTCCGACCGCAACCATCCCCAATAAATCATTTCGCTTTGTAAAATTAAAGATTCTTTACCTAAAAACCGTGGCAACGAAATGTGAAGTTTCGTATTCACTCAAATTTTAATATTTTATTATAATTGATTGTTAGTTGCACATTGTTTTAAAGATAAAAAATCCGTAAAATCAAATGTTATAATCCTCATTAGAAAAACTGCACGAAAAAAAATTAATAATTATTATCATTTAATTTTACTCGCGTTATGTTTATTTAATGACAGTAGATTTTTTTAAAAATTACTAATTTCGTCGATGATTATTGAAAATACCTAAGTTAACTGTTCAATGTATTTAAATTAACAATCAAAAGTAATAGCTTTTTAGTGAATCAAAGTAAAAAAAATACTATTTTTAAGAAAGTCTCCTAATAGTTTGGGAATTGGAACGTTTTATTTAGGAAAACTGATTTTTGAATAGGAAGCTGCAAATGCAAAAAAATTCAAGAAAGTTTAAATATTTCGAAACGGTTAAACTTAGGTATACGACATTTTCAAATCGATTGACTGTACTTCACCAATTTGTTTTTTCAAAAAATACTTTTCAATAAAATTCAATATTAAAATTTCATTCCTATTAAAAGACAAGAATGAATTAGTAAAATTAGTAATCTTACCTGAAAAACATATGAATCTTGTCAACGTATCTACAATAGAGCCTTATAGGATGGCAAGTTTCCGTTGAAACATCTTGAAATGTGAGAAAATCATTTGGCATTTGAGGCGGACCTGCCATTTCACTGGCCCTTTGCAACCCAAGCACCAATAAATCCAAAACCAAACCATAATACTGTGTTATAAACGAAGCAAATTGTAAACCTCTTATAATCCCATAACTGTTGGTATGATTCATATCTTTGTAATTAATTACAACGTTGTTTTTAGCCGTCATGTAATCAGCAATATTATGATCGACAATCAAACGTAACAATCGATTTAAAAGAGTTAAATCAATTTTTTCGTAGAGTTTCTCAAACTTTGATTCTAAAAGAACGTTACATTCGCCTTCAGAAACATCCCAAACATCTTGTAGATTGTTAATTCCTTGACACCATTTGTATACAAGTAAAGGAGGTGGTTCAGTATCAGCAGGTTTGATCCATGGTGGAAACAATCGTCTCTTATCAGCTTCATACCACAAATATTGGTCTAAATAAGCATCAGTGATTTTCTCAAGTGGTTCAACATCATAAACTGGTATTAAATGACTATACAAGTCCATAAACTCAATTCCAACTTCTTTAAAAGCTCTCTGTGTCAATAAATGACGTTTAATTCGTGAAAGAGCTTCATGAGGATTGTCATAAGCTTGTTCAATAAGTCCCAATTCTTCTCTTTGACTCTGATTAAGTCGAGATTTCACACTATAAGCTTCTTTGAGACGTTCTAATGCAAGAATTAGGAGTTTAGTATCGTGTTTGTATGACAATGGAGGGAATGGAATTGGAGCAAATCTTCGAGACTCAAGCCAATGAACTGTTGTGGTATAAATAGCAACTGCTTCTTCGGGACTAATGTAAGGACCATCTTTCAAGTAATTGTGTTGTCGTTCTTGTTCTGCTTTTAAATAAAGTCTTGTCAATCTTCCTAAATTCTTTTTGCACACTGTTTTATCAACAGTTGCTCCTCGACGTATTCTTTCTCTATTGTAATGAGCTGTGTTTGTCCACCAATCAGCTTTCATTTTCACATATCGAAGAATCATGTTTTCGATCGGGATTGGTAAACCAGGAACCTGTAACATTAATACCACAACTAAGCAAAAATGATGATATTTAATAGTTTTTTTTCGGACACTTTGTATAATCAATCAGTTGCGCATTATCCAACCAATGCTGTTTTGACCTACGTCAATGTAAGCATTAGTTGTTGATCTACATTTTGATCAACTTCAGGACCCCTGCGCGTCTCATCACATTTTATTATCATCAAATCAACAACAAAAAAATATAGTATTTGTTTTAAAGGGAAATGTCCTAACGTTGGTACCCCTAGCAGATTTATTCATAGTAATTTTAATAAATAAAGTTTACAGTTCCAACAGTTTTCAGTTTTCCAAACAGTTTTCAGGGTGTTCCAGAAACAAGTACATCAAAATTTGACACTAATAAGACCATCCAAATGGTATTACAAGAAGTTATCAGTAACATTGCTGTTTGTGACGAGTGGTTTTGGATAAGTTATTTCTGGAGCAATCTGTATATTTTTAATGTTTCTATTTATGTCAAAAAGTCTTTTATTTTTATTAAAAACATGCACATTAATAAAACCTCAACACTAGAAAAATATCTACTGAAAATTGAAGACAATTTGCTAATATACTCAGAATGGCAGAAATAGGCACATTATTTTTAGAATTTATCAAGTGCAACTTTATTATTATGCATATTTAATAGTTTTAAAAGCAATATAAACCTTAAAAAAATTAAATTTCGTATAAGAATTTCGGAAAAAAATTGTCATTTCAAAAGAAAATTCATTAGAGTTGTATTTTCTTACTCAAAAAATGATATCAAACTGCGTGTTAGGGAGACGTGATAACGTGATAAAATTTTATCAAAATATCACTTTGTCATGAAAATTATTAAATTTTAGAACACAATTTGTAAAAAATGTCTAAAATACTAGGAATCTTCCGGTTTTCTTATGGTAGAGCACTTTAGACTTTAAATACCAAAAATTAAAAAAAATCTTTTTTTTAACATTTTTCTTGTTGTCTAGAGCACTGCCCTATGACACAGTGTCACGGAAGTGCTCGATTTCTTAAACACTCTGTATATGATTTTATTAAATTTTGTTTTGTTTTCGAGTATGTTTTTTAGATGGCAATCCACCTTGACGTTTCATAGAAAAAAAATCTTTTTTAAAGTGGCGAAATTTTCTTTGATAGTTTTAGCACTGCATTGTAATGATTTATTAAAAAATTTTCAAAAAAAAATGAAAAATATTATTACTAATATCACAGGCCTAAAAATTAATTCAACTGCCGGAAAAATCCTAAAACTTCTAAGATTTTGTTTTTACACAAAGACTTGAAAAAATATAAAATAAAATCATCTGCGAAACAAAAATTGTCCCATAACGAAAACAAAATTGTTTGCTTAAAAAATTGTTTAGAATCAATATTTAGGCCTCTATTCCAAATTTCAAAATTATCCACCACCTATGATTTTTCATTTTGTTCCAAAATAATTGCTTTTTATTAACAGGAAAATGTAATTATTTTTATTCATAATGAAAAAAAAATAGAAATAAAATTATTTGATTTGTGAATTAGTAAACATAAAAAAATTAAAAATCAAAGTTAGCCTAGTTTTTTTGGAAAATTTCCAATTTTAAAACTAAAATTGTTAGAAATTAGTCTTTAAGCAAACAGAGCTGAACCTCAAAAAATAAAAAATTAAATCTAGAATTTTTTATCTTTTATAAGAGTAGTTTCACCTATTTGGGGACACACTGTATGTATAGTGGCACTGTTATAATATTTGATCGAACAAAATGACAAAATGAAAAACAAACCGAAAAGAAAATTTAAACCAAATCTTCAAAATTAATGCCAAAATCACTGTCGTCATCACTTTCCCTCAAATTTATAATTAAAATTTCCAAAACATTTTACAAAATAAAAAAATCAAAAATTTATAAAACTTTTCAGTTTAAAGCTGACTACCTTGAAGACCTATTTCATTGAAGAAACAGATAAAAAGTAATCGCGGCTTCAGTATGAATAACTAAACAATTTTCAATGTTTAAAATTTGACAATAATGAATACGATTAAATATATAAAAAAACAGAATTTTTAAGTTTAAATTTAATAATTACCATTTATGAATAATTTCTATCAATACTATTAAATTTCTAGGGTCAAAACCAAAAAGTAAACAAAATTTGTGGCTAATTTCACCAATATTTTGCCACATTTCCAATAAAAAAAAAACACTATTTGGCTAGAAATTGGTATAACTCACCTTCCATGGAATATTTGCCTTCCAACACCGCCAAGCCTCAGACAAATGTTGCAAAATGGTCCTTGCTTTGTTCTGTTTGATACCCTCAGGCATCATATCAACAATATCGTGCATAACTGATGCCCTCAATTCAAGATCAAAGTGAGACTCAACCCTTTGTTTCGTCACAGTTTTAGCAACACCTTTCGAATGTCTTCCTTCAAATTGACGTGATAGTAAATTACCCAACCAACGTTCAAGTAGAGGTGTAATTCCACGCATAAAAAACAACCAAACCCTCCAACCTGGAGCCCAAAATCCACAACCCGGACCTTTTCCAACAGGACCCTAAAGAAAGTAATTTCATTTTTCAGAATTTTACAACTTTAATCACTTACTGTATTAAAACGATAATAAATCAAATGTTTTAAATCTTTACACATTCTGATTTGTCTCATCAACTTGTATTTGTATCTGTACATGCCAGTTAATTGACCAACATGAGCAAAAATATACTGTAAACCATCGGCCAATTGAAATGCATCAACGTTGTTGAGTCTGTATTGAACATGGGAGTCGATGATTAGTTTTGTTAAACGTAAAATTTCTCTACATAAATGGAAAGCTGCAAAAAATTATAAGAAAAATCATTGTTAAAAATTCAAATTTTTTACCATTTCCAAATCGGGATTTTTTTCGTTCTTTTGTTGTTAAAGTCTTGACCGGTTTCAAGTTAAAATTGTAATCCAAATGAAGATAATTCAGATTTTTCCGATGAATAAGTAAATTGAGCATGTTGTACCCTTGTCTACAAACTTGTAAACCAGCTTCGACCCAATCAAGAGTCGTAGTTTGGAAAAATTTCGTCGATTTGAAAGAACGGAATAAATAGCGTTTTTTCTGTGCTTTAGGAGGCCGATGTTTAAGGGCATTAAGAACGTAATATTTTAACAATTTCTGGTAACTAACTCTCACTTTAACTGGTTGTCCAGGAGGTGAATGTTCCATGTACCATGTTTTCACTAATGGTACATCAATGGCTCGGCGACAACGTCCTATAAATTAATATTGAAATAAATCACAACTTCGAAATGAAATAACACAAGGCGACAAAAAAAAAGTCATGTCGTGACAACTTGACAAATTATATATCATTTTGTTCGTCTCAGTGAGACAAATCAAATGCACTAAAAAAATTCAGTCCACACACTTGAACTAAATAATTTTTTTCTAATTTAAATGGATTTAAAATAATTTAACTTTGTTTGTTTTAAATAAAGAAACAGTTTTTGTTTATTCTAATTAGAACAAAGAAGGTGCAATTGACCATTTTGAAGCAAAAGAAGAGTCTTAAAACAAATACTTTTATAAAAATGCAATCTTAAGTTAGATTAACATTCATTTCTCCTATTTGGCGCAATGCTTGATTAGCAAACCTTAACTTCAAAAAATCATATCTTGAAAACTACTCGGTATATTATTTTAAAAATGTGGATTCTTATTAATAAAAAGATGCTCTACACGATGGTAATGTTGAAAAAAAATTTACTTGTAGAGTTTTTCTTAGATTATTTCGATTTACTTCAATTGCCAATATTCAATTTTAAATTTCATATCGTTCTAAGGGGCAACTCCATCCCTTTAGAATGGTCTTTATTTGAAGGAAATCGGCCTAATAGTAATTGAATAATGATTTTTTAAAATTAGAGTATTTTAAATTCATTTAAATTAGAAAAAAATTATTTAGTTCGAAGTGTGTGGACTTTTTGAATTTTTTTTTAGTGCATTTGATTTGTCTTACTGAGACGAACAAAATGATATAAAATTTGACTTTTTTTGTCACCCTGTGTAATTATTATTACCAGAACGTAAATTGAACGGTCTAGGGGCCCATAAGAGGGCAATACCGTTAGCGGTGTTATCTGTATAAAGGGGTGTTTCTTGTAAAAAGGGTTGCACGTGTTCTGGTAAAATGTATTCTTCGTCATCTTCGGGAAGAGGTTCCAAACTTTTAACAGCATGTCGGTGCGAAATTGGGTTTATTAAAGGATCAAAGTAAAATGCAGGGAGGTCTGGATCTTCCGTTTTAATGTAAACAACATTTGGAGCGTGATACCTAAAAAAGTACTAATTTAATTTTTCGGCTTATAAGAAAATAAAAAAACATAAAGTGGCCTCGACAAGGCGCATATTAAATGTTTTCCGAAATCGCAAATTGGGACAAAATTTGTTTAAACTACTTTGGAGGTTAGGTTACTACAGGATGTTTCAGAATTCGCCCCCGAAACATGGAAAAACTTCTATGTCAAACACTCTGTATATTATTGTTGCAAAAAAATTATAGACATAAAACACGAAAATGCTTATTTATTTGGGTTAATTGTTATATAACAATTTGAATTCATGGAAATGTTTACTGGTTGCAGTAAAAAAATGTCGTATAATGAACTACTTTAGTGCCGATTTTATTTTTTGCTGACGATTTTATGTAACGATTTCGAAAGAAAATAATTTATTCATATAGAGTGCTTCAAAAATATTCGGAAAAAACAAAATGACTAGAAAAATAAAAAAACTTATGAAAAAAGTCTATTTTTTAACACAAAATGGTTTTAGATATTTGAATTATGTAATTTTTTTTATCAAATTTTAAAATTCTCTAACATATTTTTTTTCCGTAATAGTAAAACTATTCACTTTTTCAAAAAGAAAAAACTAATTTATAAACGATAACCTTTGTCAGACAAATGCAAAAATAAAATGATTTTTGTCTTATTTGTTGATTTTTTTTTGGTTTATTTTAGCAAAATCTCGAGCATTTTCGATCAAATTTTGTAATTACTCGGCTAATTTTTGTCTTAATTTTCCTCAAAAACTATTTAAATCGAGCGAAACAAACAAGATAAGAATATTACATAATTCTTTTTGTGATTTGGGCAAGATTTTGGACAAGATTTTGCAAAATAAATGAGCCGCTGGTTCAAAAAGAAGTAAATCGAGCAAAACAACGTAAAAAATAATATCAATTTCAATTATTTTTGTATTTTTTGGACGTGTTTGTACAAGATTTTCCAAAATAAATGAGCCTATGATTTAAAAATGAAGTAAGTCAAGCGTAAATAAATTAAAAAATAAAATAAATATCGATTTATTTAATTTTTTAGATTGTATAAGCAAAATTTTTCAATTTTCTTTGTTATTATTTACTTTTGTATTTTTTCTACTTAGAAAAAGACAAAAACGGCACAACTTTTGACTGGTTTCTCGCAAAATTTTGCAAAATAATTGTGTCTCGAGCTGAAAAACGTGCTAAAATTCTCGAGGAATGCAAAAATGACGCATTTTCGCATTTTTAACCTAATTCTGTTATTTTACAGCTTGTCTATAATTGCGTTTCTCGCTGAAAAACGCTCCAGAAATGCAAAAATTATATAATTTTCGACTTAATTTGTTGTTTTGGTATGTTTTCAGCGAAATTTTAGGAAAAAAACGGAGTTTTTAGTACAAAAAAAAAAACATTTAAACGCATTCTCGATCAAATTTTGTAGTTTCTAGGCTTATTTTTGTCTTAATTTTGCTCAAAAAAACAGGTTAAATCAACTGACACAAACGAAATAACATCAATATTAATTTTTTAACAAATTTTGGGCGTATTTGAAGAAGATTTTGAAAAATAAATGACCCTCCGATTCAAAAACGAAGTAAATCGAGTAAAACAACGTAAAAAATACACATCAATATCGATTAAATTTGTAATTTTTTAAGTTAAACAAATTTTTCGATTTTCTTTTTGTTTTATCTCAGAAACGTGCTTACACTCAAAAAAAAAAACAAAAACAACATTTTTGGTCCACTTTGATAAATTTTTGACTTTTCTCACCAAATTTTGCAAAATAATTGTGTTTCTAGGCGAAAAACATCCTAAATGTTCAAGAAATGCAAAAATAATATAATTTTCGACTTAATTTGTTAATTTTTTAGTTGGTTTTAGCAAAATCTCGCGAAAATTTTAAGATTTTATGTAGTACAAGAACGTACAAGCATTTTCGATCAGATTTTGTATTTTTTCGGCTTATTTTTGTCTTAATTTTGCCCAAAACAAATTAAATCCCCAGAAACAAACAAAAGAACATTATTTCATTTGTGATTTTTAGACGTGTTTGAACAAGATTTTGCAAAACAAACATGCACAAAAGTCGAAATTTAGAAATAGTGACATGTACGAAATCTATACTTTCTTGTATAATAAAAACAATAACAAACGACAAAAAAATATTACAACTTGCAAACAGCACCAGAATAAAATTCTTTTAACAGTGTGAGATTACTGATCACGTGACCAAATTGAACCAATCAGATGCTCAGATTCACGGGTTAATCGTGCATTAACTTTTAACAACGAATTAATTTTTATTTTGCCTTCTATAAACTGAGTTTTACTAGTTTTATTAGCTTAGGTCTTTGTTGCTCGTCCCAACCACGAAATAATTTTTTTTTGGTAAAATTTTATATTTTTAAGACATCAAAGCAAGTCTAATAAAAATAACACATGTATGTGATATTTCAGCATTTTCATGAAGACTTTTCAATGAAACGAATATCATATCACCGTAATTATCTCCCACACTGCTAGTTTACCCGTTCTACGCTTCAAAAACGAATAAAAAACTAGTGTGGATAGCACGAAAACAAACCAAAAAAATACATACCACGACAAATGCACAAAATGAGGCATGTTGTTGTACAAATAGGGAAAAGCAATCCTGTATTCGGTCCTAATTGGTTGTCTAATGATAATTTTATTAATATCATTAAACTCATTCCAATCCTCGTCCCTGCAAACACAACAAACAGTAAGAAAAAAAAAATTAAAAATTCAATAATTGTAAAATTCTTACGCTGGATTCATATCTTTAATTAGAGGTTCAAATTTTGGTCCTCCTGGAATTGCCATATTTAAAGCTTTCGCTGTAAAAAAGCTCTTAGTGTCAAAAAGATAGAAATAATTATTATCAACTAAATCAGTCAATAGTTGATTTGCCAATCGATATAAAGTCGCCATCATTGGTAGTGTTAAATTCCATTTTCTATACGTTGGACCATTCACATACTTAGTACCAACTAATGGTTTATGGTCGTAAAACCATTTCGCAACCTCAGCATCCTCCTCTGCATCCAACTCAATTTGAATTGCTTCAAGAGGCTCAACATCTAGGACGTTATCAGCATAATCAAGGGGTGGTTCCTCGTCATCAAAGGGCGGAAACCGCATTCGTTTAAAATGTCGACGATCGCGTTTTTCACGTCGCATCATAATCCACATTGTACCCCATTGGGCTATATAAATGGGCTCAATCACCCATGGAATCTCATTAACGAAAGTTATAGCCCCAGTTATATGGTACAACACTTTCACGTCCCGAATTTGTTCCCAAGGCATGGGCATATTCTCCAATAACTTCATTACAGCATGAGGCATGTATTTCAAAGCTCTGTTAAAAAAAATTAATAGAAATGTGAAGCTTAAACAAGACAATTTACCCCAAATAAACGCGTTTATCGTGTCGATATTTCCGACTGCTCATATCACCGTGATCTCTGATAATTTTCCGGATGTGCTCGGGGGGCATGTCCTCTTTTTGGGCATCAACAAAGCCCAGTTTTCGTTTATCGGCAAATCTTTTAGACTGGAGTTGATGCCATTTTTGGGCTGGAATGTCGGACTTTATGAGAAAATGTATCAAAAAAGTCGAATTTACCTTTTTCTTGAAGTTTTTCTTCAGTCATTACGTCCGATTTTGGGTGTGGGGGCGGTATTTGCTGTTGTAAGGCATGGGCATGGGCCTGGGCTGCAGCGGCTTGGGCCTGGGCATGGGCTGCGGCCAGGTGCTGTTGGGCCATCATGGTGGCCCATGGGTTGGGACCCAATAAATAAGGGGGCAGCGACATCCTGAAATTTGTGAAAAATTAATACAAAACTAAAGTAACGCTGTTTTGAAGGTTATCTTGATGATAACCGATAAAAAGAGAAACATGCAGTTATTATACAAACATAAATAATGAAATATGTGAATTACCTAACTTAATATGGTATAATCTTACCTTATTTCATTGAATTGTGAATAAAATTGGAGTTTTAGTGCTTGAATGCGACTAAAACGTTTGCTTTACGTTTTAATGCGGCGTACATTTTCACACATCACACACCGCCAAACGCCATATTTGTGATTACCAACCTCACAACTAAAATAATACTAACAAATAAAAATGGCCGTCGTTGCCAACTTACATTAAATTTTTAAACACAAGTGTTTTGCTAGTTGCATAATAAAATACTCTGCGCGATCATGGGTGCCGACTTTTCATATTTTCAATGGGTGCATAAACAAAAAATTTAATAAATTAATCGTCTTTAAAGCAATATAAATAATATACAAAGTTTCTTTTTAGATTTTTTCTCTTTTTTGCTGAATTTAATATGTTTAACATTCAAAACATTTAAAAGCACTATACAAATTTGTCAACAAAAAATTAGCACCTAGAATTTAAACTTTTAGGAAAGTTACGTTTTTTATGTTGTTGGTAACTATAATTTTCAGAAGTAATTTTGATTGTCTATGGTTGGTTACGGTTTTGTATGTCACCAGAAACCAACCAAACCCACATTATGGCAACCTATTCATGAATATCCCAAAATCCTAGGGAGTAATTTCTTGTTGATACAACAATAGTTTTTTGTATTCCTAGTACAAAAGAAAAAATCAATAAATAACATATGCAATAAAAGTGTAAAGAAAGTAGTACATGTTTAAAGTTACAAAATGCTTCAAGTTGTTGAATTTTGAAAAATAATGCATTACTGTTGAATTTGAAAAAAATCAGAAACAATTTAAAAAATTGTTTTTTTTTTTTGAAAATCTGTATGAATGTTAATAAATCGAGTACTCCTGAATACCGCTTGAGGGTATCAACTTTTAATTAATGCAATTAATTTGAGATGAACAGAATTAGGTTATATAAACGCTAAATAGCCTCAAAAATTAATTTTCAAAAATAAAAAAAAAATTTTTTTCGTTTTTTTTTTTTGTAATTCAACATGCAAAATTGTAAAAAAGTTAAAAAAAAATGTTAAAAAAAACCTAGATACATTAGTCTCTCCCTCAATATTTGTGAATACGCAGTAGATTTACTACAACAACACTTCTTTCTACTTCTTTGTCCTTTCTTTAAATCAGTGTTGCGAGTAAATTTTTTTTTCAAAAAATTGTAAAATCATTTTATAAAGGTTTTATTTCATTTTTTGAAATTTTCCTTACATACTCTGTGCGGTCATTGGTTGCTGAGTTATCGATGATCAAAGTCAAAAAGATCATTTTTCATTAAAAGTCAAAAATCTCAGCCCCAAATTGACGTAAAAAGAACATAAAAAAACAAATTGAAGCTGAATGAACAAACTATACGGCCCATGCATGATTTAACCAAAAAAAACAATTAAAAATTACATATTACGTTTATTTCTTAGGATTACGAAATAAACGTAGCTCAGATTTTTTTTTGAGAATAGACCTCAAGACAAAAATTTGAAATAAAAAAATGGATTTTTTAAAATCTAAATACGACCTGTTTCATTGTGGTACAATATTTCAAAAATCATCAATACATTAAGAAATTTTTTTGTTTATGTAGAATGTTTTGTTGTTTTGAAGTATTTGAGATAATAAGAAACATTTTTTCAAGGAGTTTCTCACTAAAAAGTTTAATTTTAGATTAATTTAAAAAATGCACAAACAAAATAGAAAAACATAAAACAGAAAAATAGAAAACGTGAGTTAAAAGTGATTTTTAAAAATACAACGCTACTTATAATAAAGATTAGAATAAGTATAAAATTCCAAATATTATTAAGAGTTTTATTATTTTTTTTACCTGAAGCAAGAGTACATTATTTTGAATGGGTGCATCCGCCCCAATACTAAAGTTCTGAACTTGTAGTTTGTAAAATTACCTACTACCCAAAGACTAAATGTTTGAATTGAAAATATAATAATTACTAATTGGTATTTGTTTATCCACTTTGCACTGTTAAGAAGAATAGAAAGTTAAACGTACGAATTATCTATGAACTATTGTTATATAATAATTACTACAAATAAATTTTGTTATAACATACAATGTTGTGAGATGAGGCACTTTTGTATGCAGTGCAACACTCAAAACATTTAAAGTTTGAATTAATTTTTGTACACAATTAAATTTTTATTCTTGTTAGATTAGTAAAATTGGCAAAATATACAGGCTGCCCCACGAGTAATAATGAGCCCGAAAACTTTTTTGAAGCAACCAACATTAGATTTCAAAGATAACGTGGATATAAAATATTTAGATTAGGCGTTGAGACTGTAAACCAGACTTTAATTTTAGTTCCACAAAAGTTACTAATGTGAACATTCTTTAGATTAATATATTTTTTTATCGTTTGTTATTGTTTTTGTTACACAAGAAAGTATAGATTTCGTACATGTTACTATTTCTAAATTTCGACTTTTCTGCATGTTTGTTTTGCAAAATCTTGTTCAAACACGTATAAAAATCACAAAAGAAATAATATTCATGTTCTTTTGTTTGTTTCTGGGGATTTAACTTGTTTTGGGCAAAATCAAGACAAAAATAAGATGAAAAAATTAAAAATTTGGTCGAAAATGCTTGCACATTTTTGTATTACATATAATCTCAAAATTTTCGCGAGATTTTGCTCAAACCAAATAAAAAATTAACAAATTAAGTCGAAAATTAGATTATTTTTGCATTTCTTGAACATTTAGGATGTTTTTCGCCTAGAAACACAATTATTTTGCAAAACTTGGTGAGAAAAGTCAAAAATTTATCAAAATGGACCAAAAATGTTGTTTTTTTTTCGAGTATGTAAGCACGTTTCTGAGATAAAATAAAATGAAATTCGAAAAATTTGTTTAACTCAAAAAATTACAAAATTAAATCGATATTGATGTGTATTTTTTTACGTTGTTTTGCTCGATTTACTTCGTTTTTGAGCCAGAGGGTCATTTATTTTGCAAAATCTTGTCCAAACAAGCCTAAAATTTGTAAAAAGAATTATTATTGGTGTGATTTCGTTTGTAAATTAAGAAAAAGTATGTCGAGAAACTACAAAATTTGGTCTAGAATGCTTTTAAGCAGTTTTTTGTACTAAGATCTCGGTTTTCCCGAAATTTCGCCGAAAACATACTAAAACAACAACAAATTCAGTCAACAATTATATTATTTTTGCATTTCTGGAGCATTTTAGAACGTTTTAGTGAGAAACGCAATTATTTTATAAAAATCGGTTAAAGACAAACTGTAAAGTCACAGAATTAGGATGAAAATGCGAAAATGAGTCATTTTTGCATTCCTCGAGGATTTTAGCACGTTTTTTATTTACAAATTCAATTATTTTGCAAAATTTAATAGCAATTTTCAAGCCATTTTGGTATTTTCAGAAGAGTTCTCCGCCCGCAAGATTGTATTTTTACCCAAAAAATAAAGTTTTTTGACTTTTAAATAACATTAAGTCCCCCTTTGACAATCAAACTGCATTATGTCCAAGACATATTTGTGTTTAAGTACTCCAGCTGTAAAATTAGTGTACAATTTGTATATATTTTTTTACATTTATTGGCACTGGTATAAAACATTAAAATGATTTCTTAAAAGAAGTTTTTGCTCTCTTCTCCAAAAATACAAATTTGGACAAACTGCTTTTTGAAAGTCTGTTCCTCAATTATAACGTCAGTATGTTATATTATTACAATAACTCTAAAATTATTAATCTGACCATTAATTTTATTCATTCTAAAAATTAAATATTTTTCAATTAATGACTTTTTTCAGTGTCCTAGGAAAAATGGTGTACAATTTTTTTTTATTATTTTACTAATGCCCGGTTTCTGGAACGATTTAGCATAAGATAAATTTTATCAGTTCGATGTTACTAATTAGGTAGAGCTGATCTGGTTGGTGTTTCTATAGCAATTATGGAACTGATAAAATTTATCTACCTATAAATCGTTTCAGAAACCGACCCTAAATAGCAACCAATTTTACATAAGAAATAGTCTTAACAAATACCTGCGAATAAGCACATCTCCGAATGAATTTTCTTCACTAAAATATTTCATTTTTAAACTACTTAACATAATTATAATTTCAGATTAGGCGCTAACAAGATTTCTTCAAGAAGAATTATTTCATTAGATTACCAAATAAATCAAATTGTTAAATAATCATTAATAGCATTTTTATTTTGGTATTTTCAGAAGAGTTCTCCCCCCGCATAATTGTTTTTTACCTAAAATTTGGCTTAAACTATTTATTTTTTGAAAAAACTAATTGATGAAGGATAAAGTATTTTTTCTACGATCCTATAAGACAGATGTCAATTTCACACAATGAAAGTTGACAATTTCATTCATATGTCAAAATTTTGTGCGTTATTATAACGCACGGTTATGAGTTATAACTTATAACGTAATAATTTACTTTTATCAAGTAGGTATGTTGCTTTGTACGTTATTATCATAACATAACACATGGTTACAACGTAATAAAATTGTGAGCTAAGTGGTAAGTTTATAATACAACGTTTTTATGTTATATTATTACAATAACTGTCAAATTAATAATCTGAAGATTAATTTTACTGATTCTTAAAAAAAAATATTTTTGCACTAAATGACTTTTTTCAGTGTCGTAGAAAAAATAGTGTTCAAAACTTGCTGGAACTGTGACCTCTGCACGAGATCGTGACTCCCTATTTGTCACTTTCCATGCTCGTTATGTAAAATACCAATAAAAATTTGACATTTTAACAAAAATAAAATTTTCCAAAATTTTCTTTTGTTTTTGAGTTCTGCAAAATTTTTAATTTTTTTAAATGATCAAAGGATTACAACTAGATATCTACTTTATATTCAATTTTGCCATTTTGACAAAAAAATCACATAATTCAAAAACAAAACAAAATTTCATTCTCAAAACACGATCACCTTTATTATAGTAGGTAGTCTCATTTTTATTAATTATTATTTTCTAGAGACAAATGATTAACCAGCTAATCTGTGGAAATACGTCATAAAAATGACATTTCTATTGAATTCTGTCTAAAAAATAACATATAACTAGTAGTAAAGAGAGGAAGGTTGCAAAGTTGAGAATTGAATTGGAAAAAAACGGTGAAA